TTGGGTTAGCTACCCTGCTAGCCCGAGCTGACATGTCTGGTTTTACATCCTCCTGTGCTTCACTAGAGGTGCTGCTTCCAGCTACRCTTAACAGGTGTTTGTGGAGGAACAGAGAAATGAGAAAGGTTGGGCCAGAGCCCACCCTGCTGTGGGCAGAGATGAGGCCAGGCTACACTGTGGACTCAGCAGAGATCTGCCAGCAAATAGGTGTTCCCTCTCCTCCTCCTTCCTACTCCAGTGCAGCCTTGAATTCCATGTTGGAATCAACAAACTAGGCAGAGGGAGGTTCTCAGCTGAGAACAGAAAATCTTACTTTTAGACCAGGTAACTTGCTCTGCCTTGCAGGCTCCCATCATGTGTAGCTGTTGTTTGTGGTCACTTTTTGTAGACAGCTAATACTTCAGAGTCTGTAGGCTCAACATTCACTTCATTTCTCAGGTTTTCTCTGTGTTGCTGACCATTTTAGCAAACAGAATAGAGAAGTAGAGAGGGAGTGAACAACAGATGGAATACAGAAGTGAAGAGGGAAGAACACGTAAGAGAAGAACTAAGAAAACTCATAAAGAGGAAGAAAAAAAGGAAAAAAAAAGGAGAGAGGAGGATAAGAAAAGAAAAATAAAGAACCAAAACAGCAGCCTAAAACTATACTCAAAAACTATTTTGTACATACCCTGTAATGACTAGGGGGGTCCATAGGGCTGAAGTACTGCTAGGGGCATTGCCAGTAAGGCCCTAGGGTAGACKATCAGCCAGTAACCCAGCCATGCTGTTCTGTCACCCTCACCCTCTCTCTTGTAATGTGAGAGAAGAGTAGAGACAATGATGGCAGAAGGGTCCCTAAATCTAACCAATGCAAACATTGAAAAGCAAATTGTGCCATAAAGTACCCTATAAACACATTCAATGCCACAAAAAAATTCCCTAGCTTTGGCAGGCTGCATAGTGGGACTGCTCCAGACTTTGAGCAGAGGAAATCCAAAAGGTAGTTTAATACTATCAGTAATTACCAAAACAAAAATGATCTGTAAGTTACAGAAAAGAGAATGTGCAAAATTTTGATATTATTTTAAGGCATTTTCCCTATTATAATGAGTACCAAAATAATTAGACTCCTGTGAAACTTCTCCTAGTGACGTGCTCTCTAAAAATGAATACAAATCCAAATTAMGCACAAATCTAAAAGAATTTCAAAGGCTGATCTATATTCAGTGCAGGCAAATGGTTATGCTTGTTAAATTTCTGTATTTCTAATTTCCAGCTAATATAAAACAAAAATTATGCAAGTGGAAAYGTTAAAATTTGGGGAAAGTAAAGACAATGCAGGGACACTATTTCTACCATTTTCTGTGAGAAGACCCATTTCATGGTTTTGGTGCCACCTCCCAGACCATAATAATGCAGCTGCCCTGGATAAGAAGCCTYGAGACAAGAAGGAATATCTAAAATGACCAAACTTCAAACATGAAGCTTGGAAAATGCCAAATAACAAACAAAGGGGAAAATATTATTTAATAAATAAGATATCCTTGAAAGTTCATCACTTGTTGCATTTGTTTACGGCATCATGTTAAGCYGTCAGTTTTTAAACCAACTAAATTTCTTTGATTTGCATCAAGCTTGTCTCCAAAGATTGCCACCTGCTGACCTATGTTCTGAGGATATGTTTTTCATTTGGTTGTGGCAAGATGGGTTCCTATCTCACTGAGCCACAGAATCTGTTAGAAATAACAGGACAAACTGTGAGTATCACTTTCAAACTTCATTGGAAGTCTCCCCACAAGCCTTAGTGAGCTCTGATTAAGTCCTCAGAAAAATTACAAAGGTTATCACTTTTGTTTTACCAAGCATTTACTGAGAACAGCCCCCCCACCCCACCATTTGTCAATAGAAAGAAGAAGTTTAATCCTGAAGCCTGCACTAGCAGATGAAGGTAATTTCCCAGGGAGAAGTGAAAAGACAGTGAGCTTCATAATACTATCATATTAATGTACGGAAAAAAAAAACCTGATCTGGTCCACTTCTCATTTTCAGTCATTCCAGGTCATGTTCATGAACAATTGTTTACTCGTTTCCAATTCCAGTTCTAATAGTGATGGTAATCCAAAAAAGGGAAGAGGAATATGTATGGCAATATCTTTATCTTGGTAGYATTCTCCATTTAAGCAGACATAGGCCTCAAAAAAGGCATGGGACAAGAAGCCTTAGATCTCCACAGACAATTGAGTTAATCGTGAAACCACGGACTTCATTTGACACTGGGTCTATATGCGTCTGACAGTGAGAAAACAAGTGTTTGTAGACGTTGTGTTGAAAAAGATTTGACTAAACTCAGTGAATATTATTTGCAGCTCAGATCCTTTTTTCTTAAAGCGTCCACTGTACTTGTGTCTCCTTCATCACCATCTGCGCTCATCAATTTTGGATAYTTTCCATAAATCCATATCTATTTTTATGAGGTAGTCAAATTTTTGACTTCTGTCAGCTCCAGACTGTGGCAGAAGAAGTGCTCTTTTCATTAAAATGTAAATAATCTTTTAGGTTAGCTTCAAATATTGTAGTAGAGAAACTTGAAGGCTGATTTGGGGGTCCTAATATACATTTAATTTATATCTAWTGTGCACACATTTTATATACTCAGACTGAATATACTAACATATACTCTGTATTARTCAATGGAGTCCATTTTCCAAAATATTCTTCTTTAAATGAGGATATTTATGCCTGGAGAACTTGGATGGAGAATACTTGCCTGGGCTTCTCTAAAGATTATAATAGGTCTGACACTGATTTTAGAGAAATTCTGGGGTGGGTTTGGACATGGTTTTTAGTTTCTGCCTGAAAGGGTTCACGCTGCGATTGGAGGAAAATAACAGGGAAAATTGTAAGGARGGATCAGACGTACTACCTGAAAATACTTGGTTACCAGTAACAGACATATTGACYTATGTACAAGTATTCTTGGCATTTTCAAAGTCTGAAAAGTAACTTTAAGCAGCATAGATTCAGTAGGAAGCACTTCRCTGTTGAAATGAAATTAATTCACCATAGTTAAGTCCCTCAGTCAGATCCTGAGACAGACACAAGTCTTGCATAAATAGCAAATGAGAGAAAACTGTGCAAATAATTTGCTGCTTAGTTCAACAGCTGTATAACTGAATACATTTAAAACCAAAACATATTTGGAAGAACAGACTGAGAGCCCATTAAACCTATTAAGATAAGGATAACTATCACCATAGCAACAGTTGACAAGAATCAATGATGGAAAAAAACCCAGCTGGTTGTTCAATAAAGCTGAAGCTCACCAACTGCTCAACTTTAGCTCAATAAACGAAATTGTGTTAAATTTGTCACTGATCCTTACCACATTCAACAGAAACAGCTGCTCGTTTTTGTTCTTCCTTCATAGATGCCAATATTTCACGCGTTAAAAGGAGAGCAGAATTGCATTCTTWCAGGGTGTGGTTACTACAGTCCTACATGTTTAATTAAACATGGATTTTCTCTTCCAGATAAGAGACATTGTTCAGCCTATTTGGCCCCCTTCAAACTTCCTCCACTTTTGTCTGTTTCATCTTCTTCTGAAAGAGCAAACACAAGTGCAAAGCTCCTTATGGGATATAATTTTCACTCATCTTAGCCTCATTTCTGGCTTTAAGRTTATGTTACCCAAGAGAAAAATCAAAATAGTAGTAGTCAGTGTTTAAATCTGAGAAACTTCATAACATCATGCTTTTGTGGCTGGACTAAAAAAATTAGTCTTTAGACAGAAGGTACTTTCACCCAGGAAGCAGAATCTTGATTCTACTGAAGTCTTAAAAAGATTTGCTGCTGACTCCAGTACAGAATATTAACTGGAAACTGTAACAACACATTTCCTTGTAGAGTGAATAGCATAATTTACATACTTTCGTTAATTCTTCATCTTAGAAATGAGTGGACATGAGAAAGGGATTCATATTCTGCATTAAACTCTCTTCCTCATTCATGGAAGTTAACAAAATTATTAGTTGCTATATAGATATTCTATTTTGGAAATTCCTCAGTAAATATCTCAACTCACTGTAATATTTATTTTGTTTTTAAAGGGCTTAATTTTAAAGAGTTAAAGGGCTTAACTTWAAAGAGTTAATTTGTGGTTTTGTTTYTCAAAATATTTCCATTTACTTAAAGAAGGAAAATTGGAGGATGTTTGCCTTATCTACAGAAATGAACTTTTTAATAAGTTCTTGAATGCTTGGTTTTGTGGTGGRTGTTATGCTTAAGGCCCAATACAGCATGGAAATCTCTGTCTTAGTRAGCTTTCCTGACCAAGTTTTCAAAACCTAGTAGCTGATATATTACTGATAAAAGCTAGAATTTTTGATGACCGTCCCATATTTAGAAACACACTCCATAGCATTACATTTAAATACTAAGTTTTGTAGAAAGAAKGAAATTTTAAAGTTTTTATATAGGAAACACAAAAGGTTCCTAGGTGATATTTGAATACAAAAATATTTAAATAAAATTAAATATTAAAATAATGCAAAAAAGACACTAAATTCTGAATCCTTCCCTGCCTTTTTTRTTGTGTATTAAATTGACATCTGCTAATGCAGAATCGGATAGAAAAAAACTACTGCCCACTTGTATTTAAACTTTAAAGTTCTCTACTGATTTTATTTAAAGAACAAGGGATTGTTGCCTATTTTTTGCATTGGGMTCAAATCTGTTGTCTCTTCTATGGATTCCTACGAACTCATGTTTTTATGGAATTAAGTTCTGGACATAGTTAAGATCATGCCTACATCTGAATTAGCAAGGCTTTGCCACTGGAAAGAAAGAAGAAATATTTATATATTATGGAGTTTGGCAGATTTTTAGGGGGAGAGAAGCCAACAAGATGAACCATATTTAGATCTTTAGATAATTTTTAAACTTTGCCTTTCCTTGTAAGTGCTTTGTATTGGATTATGATGCTTGTGCTGATTACTGACCACAAACCCTTTCCCTTGTAGGCTTGGTCCTGTGACACGTGTAGCTGTGGCCAGTGGAATAAGCCCATATGCTCAGTGAAAGGAGACAAAGGTTTGTACTGCAAGGAAATTGTTTCTTTCTAGTAATTTCAAGGAGTTCTACAGCTCTGTGATCCAGAAAGAGAGAACCTTTGCACAAAACTCGTGGATGAAGGGAGCCAAGGAACAAGACAGCAATTAGAGACAAYTCACTATCATTTCTGTGTATTTTTGGCAACATTTCAATAATCCAACAAAAGCAGTAAATATCTCGGTCCTCAATTGCTATGGGCTTTCTAAAGAATTCTAAACCCTTATTGCTGGGAAAAATGAGATACAAAAGTTGAAAGATGTTTCAGGCACACACTTTATAGGGAAGATTTTGACCTATAAGCATTATGTTCAAACTGTGGGAGTTTACTTCGCTAAAAGCAATTTTTTTAAACTTTTTTTTTTTTCTTTTGGAAAGAAGTGAGGAATTTTTCAATATCCAGGGGATTCCTTTCCCCTTCTCCGTTTTTAATAAGTCAAACCTTTGAATCCAGTGACTTTTCAAGATTTAACTGTTTTTTATTTTGACCAGGGAGCTTGAGTGACAAGGAAACAGTAGGATGAATATCCAGTAAAAATCCCTCCTGATATGTATAGTACATACCYGTGTGTACACACACACAGACTTAGCATCCAGTTCTGAGTGGCACAGTATATGCAGGATACAAATCTATTAAAGAGTATCCAAAGGAAGGCAATGAAGATAGTGAAGAGCCTTTAGGGGGAGCCATATGAGGAGCAGCTGAGGCCATTTGTCCTGGAGGGGACTGAGGAGAGACCTCATTGCAGTCTACAGCTCCCTGATGAGGGGAAGAGGCAGGGCAGGTACCATCCTCTTTGCTTCGGTAACCAGTGACAGGAATTGAGGAGACAGCCTGAAGAAGAGTCAGGGGAGGTTTTGTTTGAGTATCAAGGAAAGGTTCTTCACCCAGAGGGTGGCTGAGCCCTGGAACAGGCTCCCCAGGGAAGTGGTCACAACACCAGCTTGACAGTGYTCAAGAAGCATTTGGACAACACTCTCAGGCACATAAGCTTGAGGGTGGYCTGTGCAGGGCCATAAGGTGGACTTGGATGATCCTTATAGGTGCTTTCCAAATCAGGGTATTCTATGATTGCATGAATTAATATTGTGTGCATACATAKGTTCACTATTTCCACTCAGTGAGCTAGTGACTGAAAGTAGTATCGTGGTATAATTATTAGATACTTGTCCAAGTTATAAGCAATTATTTTATATTTTCCCTCCATCCAATGTGGCTTTTGAGTCATAAGTTTAGATACTCTTCAATTTTTCCTTCAGTCAATCCTCCTTGTTGCATTATTTGACTCCCTTAGTTTAAACTTTCTTAGAGTTTTCTCACTGAGCCTTTAGCTTCACATTTTTTATCTCAAAGATAATTAACTCAGCCTACACTGTTAGAAGGAAACAATCTGTTTGCAGGAAGTTTTTTAAGATGCCTTCTCTTGCCCATGTCCTAACTAGGTCACAGAGATGTGCTTTTATCTATCTTTAGAAGAAGGTTTATCTAGCATGGAGCTTCCTGAAATAAAAATAGGAGTGTATTTAGAACTCCACTCACCTTCATGCTCTCCACCCATCATTTCCAAGAACAATGTTATTAATAGCATCAACATGTCACAGGTGATAGARGGAAAATACGTCTAGTTTTCCAACCTAACTTTGCCTGGTTGGCTAGATACATGCACACAAACACACACTTCCATATAAGTGGATCCCTCGGGAGGGCTACAAGGATGTCATGATCTTATGCAGAGAAAAGCTGGAATGGCCAAAGCCCAGTTGGAGCTCAATCCAGCGACTGCCACAAAAATAACATATAAAGTTTCTATACATACATTCACACYAAAAAGTGGGCTGATGAGGATCTTCATTATTTATTGCATGTGGGGTAAAACTTAGTGTCAAAGCATGAAGAAAAGGCTGAGGCACTTCCTGCTTTCTTTGCTTCAGTCTTTCATAGTCAAACCAGTTGCTCACAGAGTGCCCAGGTCTCTGAGCTGGAAGACAGAGACAGGGATTAAAATGAAGCCTCCATAATCCAAGGAGAAATGGTTAGCAACTTGCTACAACACTTAGGTCTGCACAGATCTATGGGACTGATGGGATCTGCCTGAGGTTATCAAGGGAGTGCTCACTGAGCTACTTTCCATCATTTACCAGCATTTCTGGATGTTTGATGAGGTCCAGTTTTACTGGAGGTTAGCAAGTAGGACTCCCAGCTACAAGAGAACTGGAAGGARGGTTATGGAGCAGCTCATCCTGAGTGCCATCACACAGCACACAGAGAACAACCAGGGGATCAGGGTCAGTCAGCATGGGTTCATGAAAGGCAGGCCCTGCTGCACCACTTTCTATGACTCGCTTAGTGGAAGAGGGAAAAGCTGTGTATTCTGTCTTCCTGGATTTCAGTAAAGCTTCTGACATCATTTCCCACATCACTCTCCTGGAGAAACAGTCTGCTCATGGCTTCATGGGTGCACTGTTTTCCATGTGAAAAAGTGTCAGGATGGCCTGGCCCAGAGAGTGGTAGTGAATSGAGTTACATCTGGCTGGTGGCGATCACCAGTGAGTGGTGTTCACCAGCGCTCAGTACATGGGCCAGTTCTGTTTAATATTTTTATTGATCTGATTTTGGGGATCAAATGTACCCTCACTAAGTTTGTGCATGACTCCAAGCTGGGTGTGAGTGCTGATGTGCTGGAGGGCAGGAAGGCTCTGCAGAGGGATCTGGCCAGGCTGGATCATGGGCCAAGGCCGAGGGTGTGAGGTTCAACAAGGGCCAGGGCCGGGTCCTGCCCTGGGGTCACAACAACCCCAGGCAGTGCCACAGGCTGGGGCAGAGTGGCTGAAAAGCTGCCCACAGGAAAAGGACCTGGGGGTGCTGGTGACAGCGGCTGAACATGAGCCACGGTGTGCCCAGGTGGCCAAGAAGGCCAATGGCATCCTGGCCTGGATCAGCAATGGTGTGGCCAGCAGAGCCAGGGCAGGGATTGTCCCCCTGTGCTGGGCACTGGTGAGGCCACACCTCAAATCCTGTGCCCAGCTCTGGGCCCCTCACTCCAGGAAGGACATTGAGATATTGGAGAGTGTCCAGAAAAGGGCAACAGAGCTGGGGAAGGGTCTGGAGCACAAGTCCTGTGAGGAGTGTCTGAGGGAGCTGGGSTTRTTYAGCCTGGAGAGAAGAGGCTCRGCAGGACCGAAGACTCCCCACAGCTGCCTGACAGGAGGGTGYAGCCASATGRGGATTTGCCTCTTCTCCCAGGTAACAAGTGACARSACAAGAGGAAATGGCTTTAAGTTGTTACAGGGGGCATTTAGATTGAACTTTTGGAAAAAAACCTCTTCACAGATAAGGTGGTCAAGAATTGTACTGAGCTGCCCACAGGAGTGATTCAGTCCCTTGGAGGAATATAAAAATGTAAATGTGGTGTTTAGGGACATATTTTAGTGGTGGACTTGGCTGTTAACAGCTAGACTTAATGATCTTARAGGTATTTTGCAACATAAAAGTTTTTTGATTCTATGACTCTTGAAAGACAAGGGAAAAGATGGGAGTCTTGTATAAGATCAACCAAAATTCAAAAACAGTGTTTTAGATGGACCACAAATTCAGATGAAGCTCCCTGTATGATCAGTGGAACATAAAATTTTGTCAGGAAAAAATAGTTAATCTGCCTCATCACATTGWATCACCAGATATGCTCAGAGAATTCTTAGGTGTCAGTTACTCTGGAGTCCCAGGCAGGTTSTTGACATCAGTTCTATATTTAGTTTTATAGTGGTGATTTTGCCCACCTGTTTAGAAACAAACAAACAAACAAAAAAACTTAGATAAAGTCTATTAAACTGAATGTAATTTGGAAAGCTGTCAAATGTCTTTCCTCCCCCAGATCTGCCAGGCAAATATCTCTGGGATTAAAACAAAGAAAATAAATTAATCTCCGCCTTCTTATTACAATACAAAGTGAGAGTAGCCAGGAAACATGGCACAAAACCTGATGGTACACAGTGTCCTTAGATCACTTGGCCATTGTTTTCTCTCACAGCAGCACATGTTAATGATACAAAGAAGTTTAACATTTTTTGGCTTTGGCTTTTCATGTCACAACCATAATAAATGTGCATATTATTGTTTGTATTGCCATATCCTTCAGATGCACCGCCAGTTTCTAGAGCCTGTGCATGCACAGCCAAGGACAGAATTTTGTCCACGATCAGCCTGACTGAATTAAATTAAGCAGAAGCATTTTCATACAAATTCAGCTGTGAAGTGGTCTCTCATGGTGCAGAATGTTTATGTTGTAAAGATGTTGTGTGGGTCAAATCTGCTGCGGGAAGTCAAAAGCTTTTTTKTGCTTTTTGCATACGAATTTAATTCTGCTTTAAAAGGCTGTTGTCTTATTTGGACCTAAGTCATCCTTAGTTGTATTTATTTAAAAACCCAACAAACTTCAAAATTATAAAATAGTCAATAGAATGTTAAATCCAGAAGAACAGGAAGACATGAAGAGATTCAGTGTTTCTTTTGCTTATTTTAAGGAATTTGGGCCACACAKAAAAAAGTCGAATATGATGAAGAACGAAGAAACAAGCTTTAATGTGGACAATAATCGAGCCACTCCCTTTTCCCRCTGCCTGCAGCCACTCAGCCCTGTTACAAAGCCACACAGAACAACTCCATTTGATGAAGATTTCAGAACACACCTCTCACACTTCCGCTATGGTCCTCCTCCTCTTGAAAATATGGAAACATTCCAGGGGTCTTTGGAAGGAGGGTCTCGTAAACGTAAAAGCATGCCAACAAAAATGCCTCCTCCCATCACCCTTGAGGATTCCCCATCACCATCAGACAGACCTGAAGATCACAATGACATAGGATCTTCCAGTCTCCCCTTGGTGTTCCAACAGCCAGCACAGCCCAAGTACAATTCCCAGATGATTGACCTCTGCAACTTTGGTTTTCAATTCTACCGAACTCTGGAGCATTTTGGAGCCAAGCCCATCAAGCAAGAGCCAGTGAAGCCTAACATGGCATGGCCCASTAGCCCAGCATTCATGCAGGCTCCTTACCCCTATTATCCTAAAGTCCACCCTGGCTTAATGTTTCCTTTCATTGTGCCACCAAACTTTCATTTCAGGAACCCTTTTCAAATGAAAAGACCTCCAGAACCGCCCTTCAGGAGGGCTGAAGTAAGAGAAAGTGGTGAAAACAAACAGAAAGTGGAAAGAGTAGATGTCAACCTTCAGATAGATGACAGCTACTATGTTGATGTGGGAGGTGAACAGAAACGCTGGCAATGCCCCATGTGTGAGAAGTCCTATACATCCAAGTACAATTTGGTCACCCATATCTTGGGGCACAGTGGCATTAAGCCACATGCTTGCACCCGATGTGGCAAGCTTTTCAAGCAGCTGAGCCACTTGCACACGCATATGTTGACACACCAGGGCACTCGGCCACATAAGTGCCAGGTGTGCCACAAGGCTTTCACTCARACCAGTCACCTTAAGAGACATATGATGCAACACAGTGACATCAAGCCTTACAACTGCAGGATCTGTGGCAGAGGTTTTGCCTACCCCAGTGAGCTGAAAGCACATGAGTCTAAGCATGAGAGTGGACGAGAGAACATTTGCGTGGAGTGTGGTCTGGACTTCCCAACGCTGGCCCAGCTGAAGAGACACCTAACCACTCACCGTGGGCCTATCCAGTACAATTGCACCGAATGTGATAAGACCTTCCAGTACCCCAGTCAGCTGCAAAACCACATGATGAAGCACAAAGATATCCGCCCCTACATCTGCACTGAATGCGGCATGGAGTTTGTGCAGCCCCACCATCTGAAGCAGCACTCCCTGACTCACAAGGTAAGCCACCTCTCACCTTGCATCTGAAGGATTACAGGCTGCTAAAGATACATACACCTACCTCTGAGAAATGTGGCCTCTCRCCAGCTGCAGTCTTACGCAGAGTAGAAACCCCAGCACTGCTGGAAGTAGTGTAAGCCAGATGTCTTTGAACATCTTGAGAACATACACACAAATGCCACTTTGTTATACRCGGGAGTTCAATTAAACCACCTCCATTATTTCTCCTAAGTGGATTCAGATCTCTCTGTTTCTTGGTTTTATCTTCAGAATGATCTTCTGTAAAATAATATTATTTTGCAGAGCTTTATAACCACCATCCAGTCCCAAAATTTCAAACGATTATTTACTGAAAGCCACTTCTGCTACTTTGTTAACTAAATTAGGAAGTAGGTGTGTTTGTAGTGGACTGCAGCAAAAAAAAGTATGTTATTAATCATCAGAATCATTGTAACGAGACATTCAAAAACAAAAAAAAACCCTAAGAAAAATTCCCCTTTGTGCATATATTAACCAGAATGCCAGTTAATAGAAATGGACAAGCAGTGTCATAATCACAGCTAATTCATACCAAATGGCAGTTTTGCCACTGCTGACAGAGGTGACAGCAGAGTCAGCTTAGGGTAAAAGCAAGCTTTGGACCATTTCCAAAAATATTGCTTTCAAAAATAAGAAAAATGGGATTGGTCTTTTCAAGATACTCAGAAATTGACTACCCATTTTTACAAAAATGATGTTAAGACAAGTAAAAAACTTTCACTCACAAAAAAAACTCTTTACAGATTTGCATATTTTTCCTTTAGTGTTTGAATTGTGACTTTTACATGAAAAGCAACAGTAAAAATACAGAAAGCTACAGCACTTGAGTCTTATAGTCACATATTCTTTGAAAGCCCAACAACCTCAACTTCCACATTTGCTTTTTCTTTCTTGTTTCATGCTTATAACTTCAGCCCTTCCTGGAGATTCCCTGGTCTTCAGATTTACCACACAAGATTCCACTAATTGTAGACTCACTAGTTTTTTTTGTCACAGGAAATTAAATGCCCCTTGAGCCCTTAGAGAGCTTCTGCTTCTTTGCCCACGGCTGCAGGTGGATTCAGCTGCGAATATAGTTTAAAATATTTAGCTGACCAAATGCAGTCTCATATCAGATGAGCAGACAGTTTAAGCTGCTGGTGATATTCAGTTTTAGCTTTGTAATTAACTGTGAAAACCACTGACAGTCATTTCACATCTTTGTAAAGAGGGCCTGCAAAAGGAGTAATCGCTCCCAGCACCTCACTAGTAAATCCTTATTACCTTCAGCAAATTAAGCTCTTAAGCTATTTATTAGCAAATTCTTTAATTTTCATAGTATCTAAATCATTGTTTGAGAAGCTGACAGACCACACAGGTGTGAGTAGGAATATTTAGTTATGCAGTAGTAAATTCAATGGWTAGTATAAAAAGTGATGAAAATGTTCTATAACCTCATATAGAATGAGGTAATTCAATTAGGATTACTGAAAATCCCACTTAAAATTAACAGGTTTTTCTCTCTTTAATAGATATAAGATGCATTATCTTATTTGGTGATACTGCTTGAGTTACTCAGTTACTTCAGATTATTTTCTATAGCTTTCTTCAAAGCAGGGTTGTGCCTTTTTCATAATCCAAACATATTAAATTATTAAAGGCAAGTACTACTTTAGCCTTTTAACTGGTTGTCTTTTATTCTTGGTCCATAAGTGTATATGTTTGATCAATACTTCACTGAAACAGCAGAGCAGGACAGGGCACTGACTGTGCCTCATTGATTCATGAAGAAACTTCATTATTTCATTAAGCTTACATTTTGTTTTACTTCTCTGCTTCTCAGAACCTTGTAAGGAATTGGTCAGGAAAAAAGACACAGGTACCTATTACTTAAAAAAAAACGTTAAAAGTGAAATCATTTATTTTGAACTTTGCTAATATAGAATGAATAATTCATAAATTGCTATACTGAAGATTAAATTACCTAGAATTTTTCCATCTACAGAATGTTTCTTTTCTTTTAGGGTGTGAAAGAGCACAAATGTGGAATTTGTGGCCGGGAATTTACCCTGCTGGCCAACATGAAGCGACATGTCCTGATCCACACCAATATCAGAGCCTACCAATGCCATTTGTGCTTCAAGAGCTTTGTGCAAAAGCAGACTCTCAAGGCCCACATGATTGTTCACTCTGATGTCAAACCGTTTAAATGCAAGGTAAGTGCATTTGGTGGCAGAGGCATTAACCTACGGTATGTTTCTCTGATATTATCATTTTATGCTATGGTAGAATTAGAAAAACAATGCAGCTGCATGTAAATCAGCATAAACCTGTCTGGTTTACTTTCTTTATCAAGGTTGTACTTACGTAGCACAAAATAATGGAGGTAAATATCTGTGGTTTACCCCATTCCCTTCAATTGCATTCATCCTCACATAGTTTTGGGGGGATTTTTGCCTTGTGAGCATTTAAGTGCCACAGGCATTTGAGGACAATAAAAATATCTGACATTTGCTTAATACAATCATCCAAACAGAAGRCTAAATGCTTAATAGCTTGAAACACTGGTGAAAAGCATAAATCAAGTCACACACACACACTCTGCAGAGGATCATGGAAAAGTAGCAGCCAAAACTTCACACAGTGATGTCATGCAACAGTTCAAGTAAGGAGTCAGAAAAAGCCACAGCAAAATGCAACTACAGAATGGATACAGAATGGGTCAAATGTTATTACCAGWCTGAAATTCAGGGCAGAACATCAGTATGCTCACAAAACAGCCTCAGACCATCTGGCTTTTCTGATCCTGTGCAAATTCCAGTTTGCTGTTTCGCACCAGCATTGGGAACTGACATTCCCTTTCCATCCTCTCTTTTCCTCCCTCCCCAAAAAACTTAAAGGCTTTCTTAACCCTGTTGATCTCTAATATATTCCTTGTGAATTATTCATGTTTATATTCTTACTTAGTATTAGGCACTAAATAAGTTCTTTTCCTGCCTATCTGGTTCATTGCTATAGTCATACCTGTGAAATCACAGACTGTAGGKTTTTTTTTCCACTTTAATTTGCTCCAAGAGTGCTGTAAATGGCAGGCAGAGCATATTACCCAGCTTACGCATGAGTAACTGAAGATTGATTTAGAAGCAATTTCTTGAAATCTTTTATCCTACATCTTTATGGTATTGAATATTTCCTTGAAAGGAACATTTCATGAAAAAGCAGAGATGGACAAAAATTTTTAAATGGAATTGTTTTGTCCTAAAAAATTGTAGAACTTCAAAATATCATAGGAATATATGATATTCAATACTAGTTTTAGAAAGAAAATATCAAAATKAATCTTTCTGACTTCATCACTTTGCTTTGTTAACTTCCAAAAAATTTATTTTGAAAATCTAGCAATAAAGTCTTCCAACTTCAGTTTTCTGTTTTATTTTAATTTAAGTTCTATTAAAATATTGATTTGTCTAGTAGGGCTTACATTATTCTATGTTCATAAAAGAATTTATTTTACTGAAATTCTTGGGGTGTAACTGGTCAGGTTTGCTGGAGATTTTCATTCTTTAAAAATATCTGCAAACCTGTCTACTTATTCCCCTTTGGCTGAAGTCCTCCTCTGATTCCTCAAATTTCTGAACAGAAACTCAGGTTTTGGGTCAGATTTTGGGGGTGCACTATGTTGATCAAAATTACTTTTAGGTACGTGCAGATTAGCTACGAGGTTGTGTTCAGCTCAGTGTTTGATGATGATAGATGGTTGAACTTTGAGAGGGTAATAGTTGGAACTGGGAAACGGAGTATCACCAGTATGTTTTGCAGCCAGTAACAAAAGCTCTACAGGAACACCTGTTTTTCTTATTTTTTTAATTTTGTGTCCCCACCCAGTGTTCCTAGGAAGAAAGAAACAAGTAAGCAGAGTGAATCTGTTTCTCGTATGGCTGAAGGGCTATGAATCAACATCAGTGCCCCTGAAAGTGGAGATTGCAACAATAAGCAAAGGCAGAAKCAGGAATTGCTCTTCTGCATTAGGAACATCYTAACATTACCTCTGTGACAGAGCCTTCAAAAGACTCTTGAAAGCAGATATTTCTGGCTGGTACTTGGAGGGTTAAGGCAATGACCAGATAGCAGCCTTTTGGCACCAAGCTCCTCCTCAGCAGAAGGAAGGATATAGCTGTATGAACAGCCTGCTTAACAATGGCTCACATGTCCCTGGGGAACCGCCTGCAAAKAGATTTCATCTTGCTTTCTCTTGTACTTTTCAAAGCTTCCTGTTTTCTCACGGTCCTTTTGGACAGTTTACAGTCATTCTCCCTCTCCTTCTTTCTTTGAGGAAAGGAACACCCTTCTTAAGAAGAAAAAAATAAAAAAAGAAGAAGAATGCAAGGGAAAGAGAGCACAGCAGTAGCCTTTATACTTCACCACATGCAATGGTTTTCTTTACCTTTTTCTCACAGCAAAAGAAAACATGAGCTTTCCTATGTGTCTAATCACAGCTAAGCACAGACTATCAGAAGTGAGGGAGTAGCAAATAGTTGTCCCTTTTGTTTCCTCATCCAGCTGCAGCCTGGATCTCTGTTTGATTTTCGTCTGAAGAGTGAACTGGTTTGTAGCATTTAAAGACTTGAGCCCATGCTGTCTTGTTTATTTCTGACTAAGAAAAGACTGAAGAATCATAAAGGTTTTAGACTAACTTGYGCAACAGTACTAATTCTGATTTGCAGAGAAAGGTTCCATGAAATTTACTGCTGCTTTTAGTGCTGAAGTAATCAATGTTTCAGACCTTCAATAAAGAATGCAATGGGTTTTTCTTCAGCCCAACCAAATATGCTCTGCAGCAGATGCTTTGAACTGCACTCTTTCCCCCTTCTAAAAATGAGTGTTTTAAACAAGGGTCAAAAGTAAGTAAAATGTGAGAGAGAAGTACTTTGAGAAGAAACAAAACAGGCTGACAAATACAGAAGGATGATACTTGACATGATGGCTTAGGATAAAATCTAGGGTTGAACTAATATAGAATTTTCTAACAAGCTATACAGATGTCCATTTCACCTTCAGTGCAACAAAGTCTGCASCTGAGCTGTTTCTATTCAAGACTTTAATTTTATTTTGTTTAAAGTAGACAGGTTAACAGAAAGTCCCCAAGTAAACCATGTTGTTCCTGATATCCCAGGTTCTTTTGCATAAGCTTCTTATCTTCTTGAGTGTTATGGTGCACTGTGGTGAGTTCTGCTGGAGCTGCCTCCTATGCAACAGTCTCAGGGTCATCTTTCACACTCTGCTCATCTGTGTTCACAAGCCTGTCATATCGCAGAGAAAGAACATCTTGTACAATCTTCTAGTTTAATTTGCGGACTCAGGCTCATCATTGAGCATTAGCTATGTACTCCAGCTAGATTTAAGTTGCAGCCTTCCAGCATGAGTGAGAAACCCRCTTACTTTTACCTCTGGATCATAGATATTCATCAGAAACATGTCTCTTGCCTTTTTAAGAGGACCAGTTAAACAGCGATTATGCCACACAGACCCATCATTCTGAGAAACAATTTTCATATTGGCATTTCTTTATTTTTCCTGCCACACCTCTGCACTCTAGTGCCATTTCCTCACATCCCCAGAGGAGATTTCAGGACACAAACACATTGCTAAGATGTGCCGGACTTTGGGAAATGGAAAACRTGTCAACTGTGTTCAGAAACACAGAACTTTTATGCTCTAAAGAACTACCTTTTACCATATTTCTATCTTTTCAGAAGAAAGAGMGTATTGCCTTGATAGACAGAAAAGCATTGCTTGTCCTTGATCAGTTTTAATWCTCACGACCTTATAAAGATAAGGAMTTGCATGAAGTACTCAAGCCACTCACCTATTCAACAAAATTTTCCTGGGTTACCTGTTCAAACACAAAAGAYCTAGCTATAGAAAAGCAAGCAGATAACCAGAAGCTTTCAGCAAAGAGATATTAGACAGATATTATTGTAGTATTACTCTTGTACAAGAGTAATATTGACATGTTATAGGTTGTTTCAGCAGCTGTGAAGAWAACAATCAGCTGCTGTTATTCCTCACAAATTTTCTGTGCTCATCAATACTTCTTTTCCTCTGTTTCCTCCCAGCATTTTCAAAGTTGTTTTTCGGTTCATCATTTCTCTGTGTATAAACAATCCTGCATATTAGCTTTGTTTGAATTTGAAGAAGAGACGGTATTCTTTCCTCACTGGATGGACAACCCTCGGAAACAGATACCTTACTTTTAAAAATTAATAATTCATTTTCAGTGGCTATTCTTTTTTYCCCACCATCTTGTCTAACACTTTGCTGACAAATTTATTTGCTRGAATTCTCATTTTAGCAAAATCACAGAGAGGAAATCATAAATAGGTACATATGCAGCTGAAGCAAATAATTTTCTTCCAAGCCAGTGAATGTGTTCAGGCTCTTTCTTTTTACAACACTGACTCAGCTCTAGTTTTATTTTAAAACTTGCTAATTTTTTTCATTAATGAATTGATTCAATTTTGTCTCAAGAGAAAAATTGTACAAACTTCTAGTTTGTACTTATTTAAAACACAAAGCATATAGTACTATTTTTCCAAGGATCTTTCACTATATACATTTCATACAGATATTCCAGGTGATGACTTTCTGGATGTAAATCTCTAAGTTCTCTATCAGATCTTCTACAATACCCAAAAAAATAAAATCAGTATTGAGATGATACAGAAAATCTGGTGCAGTCTTAGTAATTTCTCTTTTGTAATGGTCTGCCAGATGGTTACCCTGCTGGATGGAGGTTTCAGTTACTCASTAATGGTGATTCTGGCTCTTATAATAATAAGACTATTAAAAAAAATAAAATGGTAAAAAAAAAAAAAAAAGAAAAAAAAAAAAAATAAAATAAAAAAATTTATAAATAAAAATAAAAAAAATAAAATGGTAAAAAAAGACAGAAAAAAAAAAAAGTAAAAAACAAACTCAGAAGTTTGCAGAGGATGGAAATAGCCACTTGAATGTGAATAAAATAATAAATCCTGATAAGGAAAGACCAGAAGACAAGTAAGACTAGATGCCTGTAATGGTGATGTCAAATTCGCATGTCTTAAGAATACATAAGAGTCCTGACTACAAAAGGATCCATCTACRTAAACAATAACAATGAATAAAACCCACCCTATTGTTCCATCAAAGGCAAAATTGCACGATCAATGRCTTGAGCTGGCAGGAACATGCTTCAGGGAAAGCTGAGTCATTCTTGCAGCCTTATGACTGTTTAAATTCCAGCTTATTCACTAGAGACACTGAAACACTGAAGTTGATAAACAAAAGATGAAGGGATCAGAGAAAAAAGGGTGAGTGAGAAACAAAGAAAAACAAGGGACTGGTGTTTCTAACTTTAAGCAAAATATGCAGCTATTTAATTTCCACTTAAAGAGAAGTAATATTCTGCTTGGATCTTTTACAGAAACCCTTAATTGGTTTTGTTTTGTAATTCCATCTCTGCCTGACATTGTTCTTGCTTGAAGGCAAGATGTATAAACCACAAAWGGAATGGTTCGTTAGGGCAGAAACTTGAACTTTGAAAGATGATGAACATTGAAAGAACTTTCAATGCAAGACCCTTCCAGATTACTCCCTTAAGTCTCCTTTCAACAACATTGACAACTTTTGGGGAATCCTTGACTATTTGTCCTGGTCACCAATATTTAAAAATGTCAGCACTTCAGAATGTCTTACATACTCAGCCATATATTTTTGTCTATAAGATTTTTTCCTGGGACTTTAAAAAACATATTGCAGCCAAAAACTGCCAGGGCTTAAGTTGAGAAGTGCAGGTCCTATTTCCTTTTAAAATGTTGTCCTTGAAAATACTGCTTCAAACAAATTATTTTCATTTTTACTCTTTTTACAGCTGTGTGGAAAGGAGTTTAACAGAATGCACAATTTAATGGGACACATGCACTTGCACTCGGATAGTAAGCCATTCAAGTGCCTTTACTGTCCCAGCAAATTCACCTTGAAGGGGAACCTAACCCGGCACATGAAAGTCAAGCATGGGGTCATGGAAAGAGGATTTCATTCTCAAGGTAACATTTTTCAGCAAGATTATTCTCTGTGAAATCTGCAGGGGCATATCAGTAAACACAAATGGTCTTTATGCTACAGATCTACCAACTTGTGCCATAGATCCAATGCTATTGCAAGAGATAGAATCTCATGAGCCTGTGCAGTTGTTGTTAGCTATATTACCATAGTGTTRGAGATCAGAGATCCCCAATAAACCATAAATAATCCTAAACTGACAGAAGCAGAAAATCTAGAACACTCATGGTTCTTTGACACTGCCATTGGATTCCAGTCTAYAACAGGGATGGAATCCTGAGCGGCTCTGCATCCAGGAGCCGTGATCGTTCTGTACRGTATTGACATAGCTGGTGTCAGATGAAGGCCATAAACTCAAGATCCCATCCACAAAGGAGCACACGAATAGGAGGAGATATTCTTCCCCCATCTCAATGCATAAATATTTTTTACTACCAAGGGTATCCTGCAAAACATTTCCCATCTGACACCTACCACATATACTTCCTGAAGTCATCTTCATGTGTGTACAGATGTCAGTGCTAACTAAAGAAGTGAAGAGAATCAGAGAGGATTTKTTGAGGGTTTGGGTATCCAATATATGTTTTTTAAGCTTTTGCAGATAAATAATTCTTCATTAGGCAAGATTTCTTGGTGTTCTTCATCTACAAGCTTAAGGGCAACCTAGCACATGTGCAAAACACTTGCTCTAATGACATTTGGCATRAAATTCATGAAGATCCTAATGCTAACGAAATAAATGTTTTTATTTTCTGTAAATCTCCTACAGCTAGTTAGACAATTACTTTAACTGGATATTGCCTAAAAGCTTTTCATTATACAGAGATTCTGCAGCCCGTGAGGCTGTCAGATACAAGACAATTTGTAAGGCCTGACACTGTTTGTGAACTATTTTAACACATACAACTCATTGCAAAGTAACCTCTGCTATCTAGTCAGACTGCATAGATCCTTCAGAAACTGGATTCAGTTACTGAGGGGAAAAAAACAAACTAAAAAACTGAAAAGTAAGTAAATAGTGATTTTCATAAATATTTACTATTGGGTGAAATTCTCACCCTGTATTGTCACTAGTCTTTAATGAAGATGGACTATGCCAGCAGTATCTGAATTCTTTTCARTATACCCTGAAGCTCGGAACATGTTTGAGTCCTCAGATGCCTCTTCAACAATCTGTAATTCCACCAAGAGAGAGGACACTGACAAATATAAAGACAAACCAGATCCATTTTTATACCACACTGCTCAAAATCATCATTTGTTTAGAATTATTTCCTCAATCTGGACCACTATCTAGTGCACAGAGCTTTTCAGTTGGTTGGTTTCTCAGTGGATGAAAGAGGAAAAATTAAGGAGAGTCACAGACTGCTGAGAGTATTGTCTTTTCATTTTTAAAGTATTAGCTGTGAACCAGAGTGCCGATAGAAATAGCACATTAACATGGTTTTAGTTGCTTCCACTCTTCTGGGAAAAAAAAAAACCAAACCAAAACAACCCACAATTCTGGGACWTGGATTATGGATTATGATGCTTTAGATCCAAGTTTTCTTTTAGAAAAATACAGAAAGGAGGAAGTGAGTAGGCTCATTGGCAAAATTCAGTTTGCAAAAGGCTAGACCACTTCACTTTTCTTCTCAGTTGCATCATTTGGAGTCCGACATGTACAAAACAATGTTTTGTGTGTCCTAACCTGGCTGTGAAGTGCATACAACARCACTTATTTTTGAAGGATCTCAAAGGAGATGCCATGAGATGTAAATAGTGAAATACTTGGAGATAGATGGAAGGAAGACAAAGGGAAAGTATGAAACACAAAGCCACCTCAGATATTGGTTTTTAGCCATGTATCAAGCAGTAAAATTTTCTATATATAATTTTTTCCTTTTCTCCTCCCCTCRAACCACTACAAGGTTTTGGAAGAGGAAGGATTGCTCTGTCCCAGACAAATGTCTTGAGAAGCTTGGAGCAGGAAGAGCCATTTGATCTTTCCCAGAAAAGCCAAGGGAAGGGAATCTCCTTTCATTCTGATGGCGAAAGTGCCAAAGRAAGCTCATGCCAGGAGGAAGAGGAAGACAACTGCTATGAGGCAGAGCGATACAGCCCTGCCCCGTACCATCATGATGACAACAAGCTGTACGTGGCTCAAGATCTCTCTGGCAAACCTGAGTGCATGATGAAGGACTTCAGAGRGTCCTACTGCAATGAGAAGGAAGAAGTGCTAAGTGAGGGAGGACTGGGGAAGAGAATAGGAAATTCAGACAAAGAGGAGAGATGTGGAGAGGGAGAGCTTGCAAACAACAAAGAACATCTCAGCTKTAGATCATTTGAAAAGGCCAGACTCGGTCACTCTCTCTCTGATTACTTGTATTTCAAGCACAGGAACAAGAGTTTGAAAGAATTGCTGGAAAGAAAAATGGAAAAACAAACAATGCTCTTAGGCATTTAAAATGGACATTTTAAAGCAGCTGAAAAATGGTAACCAGATAGATTTTTAACATGAACTGTAAGCTACCAAAGCCTGGAAGTCTGTAGTAGTATTTAGAAATAAATAAGGCAAATTAATAAAAATAATTTAGGGTAAAACACATACAAGAATAAAGCAGTTCAAGGTCACCAAGAAATGCAATARATATCGAAAAATAACACTTTTATATTTATCCATTTGATGTATAACAGAGAATGAGTTGGGTACAGAAGTTTACTTCCTATTATATGGGGATAGCTACTTACATGCAATTTTCTAGTTAGAATAAAGCAACATACTTTAGCATCTGATTTATTACCTGACTAAATATATATGAACACTCCTAACCATATGCCTCAAAATTACCTGAAAATACCAAGTATTTCACATTATAAGCCAGAATRCTATTAAACATGGCATGCATGGAAATGGTGTCAACATTCAGAACTAACACAGTCCAAATATTTTGATTTACTGAAGTGACTCTTAGTTCAACTACTTACAATGGAAAATGGGAAACAAATTAATAAGAAATACTAATGTCTTGGGAGGCAGTAAAGGACAGCTCTGTAAGGCTTTGAAAGGACTGGTATTTATTACAAAACTTAATCCTCTGGCACAAGAAGTGTTTGTGCTTTGCTTTGTTTCAGTCCAAATGGGAGTATTCAGCTATTCTTGAAGTGAAATAGCAGAGACTGTGTTGACATTTTGTTCTACTGCTTGCTTAGACAAATATAYTTATTGGGCAGCATCAGGATGCAGTATCCACAATCTTGCCGTAGATGCACATAAAGTAGTATGGGTAATTTAATTGAAAAAATGGTGCAAATTTTACTATTTATCTCTTCAATTTATCAGGACTAGTAAGGATAATCTTGAAATACACAGGTCAGATCTATTTTTATTTCAGAAGGTAAAAATAACCCTTATAGGGAAAGCAGTACCTTACAGATGAAAACTTTCCTCATTTTGGAGTCAGAAATTTTGCCTTATTAACATGTCTTGAGCAGTTASTTGCAGGCCTTTCACATGAATTTCACTCATTTTGTTTTTACAGAGTCAAACCCAGATTTTCATTCTCTGAGTACCAYACAACACTATGTTCATAACAAACATGGAAAAAGCATATTCCATTAAACTTATCCTTAATTGTATTAATTCTATGAAAAGCATATTAATTCCTGCATCTTCAAGACAGAGAAAAAGCAGCCCTGCACCATCCCATTGCTTACAAGGAAATGAAAATTTAATTAGTCATGAAATTTGGCTTATGTCCTTCCGACATCCCAACCCAAAATGTTAAAATCCATATACATGGTGCATCACTTCCAAATATTACTAGCTTCTTCATTTGCCTGCCAAGTTCTTAATTTGAAATACATTACAATCATGCTCTCTATATAGCAAGTTATAATTAAACATAGTCACTTACTTACAGCTCGCTAAGGTGAGTCATGTASCTGCAGCTCTCTGCCCCTATAAGAAAACACATACCTTTCAAACTAATGATCCTCATGCCTACCAGTTAATCAGCATTCACAGGGAAATGTCCTTATTCCTTCTATAAAACTGGATTTATGTAGTCCAAGGTTGCAGGCAGTGTTTTCCTTTTTCAAGGCTCAAAAATGGCATAACTCATATTTATGCAGAAAAAGCGGTTGATAAAAGGAACAGTAACAACCAGGTGACTCTTCTAAATTAACTCTACATCTGACACGAMTTTTGTTTAAAATAAAAATGTTATGCCAAATTGAAGTGGAAGGTAGGTCACTTTCAACCTAGAATTTAAAAAGTCTTTGGAAGTGAGGTGTATTTTAGAGGTACATAGTCATGTTTTTTTCAGGGATGAGCTGTTTCGTCATAAACATTCTTCTTCCTTGCTTAAGCTGTGATATGATCCCTATTGAAAGAGGAGCCATCTTTCTTTCAAGGAAGACAGTGTGGTTAAGCAGAAAAATTAGAAAATTTTCAGAATAATGAGTACAACTGCATGAGTACAACTCACAATGCCTTCTTAAACTGCAGGGGAAATGATCAGGTAGAWATCAGCATGTTCTTGCAGATGATCCCTTAAGAAATGGGAGCAAATCCTTCAGTTAACTTCTTGACTCCACCTTGTCTCCACCAGATGAAAGCTCCCATTTGAGCAGGTATACAGCCAAGGGCTGGGAGTCACTAACTCTTAAAAATGTCTCTCCATAGTGTAGAGTGTGTACTCTACACTCCGGAGTAGTTTTCAGCTGGAATGGTTCAAGATCAGTCCACCTTTCCAGCCATATTAKTTCCCATGATAAGAAGAAGAAGAAGCAAATAATAAGGAATCTCCTTGCATTTTCTAAAAAGGCGATCATGCAAATTAGCTGAATTTAGCAACGCCTTTTYTTTGTGGTGGGTAAAGCAGGAGGGCACACAATCCTTCCATTACAAGGAAGGAAGTGTCTTGTTGCCTATTCATTGGAGGCTACTAAGGGTCACCTAAACAATCTTTATCAACAAAGACACTAAGGAATACATATCAATTACAGTGCAGACAAATGGAGCAAAGGAGATATGTTCAGCAGAATTCAGCTCCCAGTGGCTAATATCATAAGAGGTATTCTAGCTGGCCTTCAGCAAARGCTTTGATACTATCTCCCACAGCAGTCTCACAGAAAAGATGGCAGCTCATGGCTTGGGCAGATGAACTCTTCACTTGGGTGAAAAACTGGCTGTATGACTGGGGCCAGAGTGGTGGTGAATGTGGTGGARTTAACTGCAACTGGCAGACGGTCACCAGTGGTGCACCTCAGGGGCAATAAAGGGACCAGCCCTGATTAATATCTGTATTGACCATCTGGATGATGRAATGRAGAGCCCCTTCAGTTTGCAGGTGACACCAAGCTGGRTGGGAATTTGATCTGCTGGAGGGCAGGAAGGCTCTGCAGAGGGATCTGGCCAGGCTGGATCATGGGCCAAGGCCAAGGGTGTGAGGTTCAACAAGGGCCAGGGCCGGGTCCTGCCCTGGGGTCACAACAACCCCAGGCAGTGCCACAGGCTGGGGCAGAGTGGCTGGAAAGCTGCCCACAGGAAAAGGACCTGGRGGTGCTGGTGACAGCGGCTGAACATGAGCCAGGGTGTGCCCAGGTGGCCAAGAAGGCCAATGGTATCCTGGCCTGGATCAGCAACAGTGTGGCCAGCAGGGCCAGGGCAGGGATTGTCCCCCTCTACTTGACATTAGTGACGATGCACCTCAAATATTCTGTTCAGTTTTGGGCCCCTCATGACAAGAGAGAGATAACAAGCCAGAYGCCATCCCCGGAGGTGTTTAAAAAATGACTGGATATGACACTTARGGCACCTTGTAGACCAGGTGGTAATTGGTCAAAGGTTGGACTTAATAACTTCAGAGGTCTTATCCAACCTAAATGCYTCTGTGATTACCTGATTTGTGATTCCGTGATTCTGTAATCMGAGAAAAATTATTGGAAGCATGCAATCCAGAGTTCCCTTACAGWCCTTGTAAGAGAATATGCCAGATGTATACTTGGGAAAGGAAATCACTGCAGACAGTTCTAAATTGTCTAAATGGTTAACTGAGACTCCTTCAGCCACACTCACTGCAATGAATAAATGCACTTCTACAGCTGCAGTACTCATTGGAGTAAAGCACCTGACAACCACATACAAAGAGATGGAAAGGCGTAGAGTTTCCCAGGATGGCAGTATTATTTGCAAATAATTTATGATGTGAAGCTCTTTCCTTGTATTTTTCAAGAAAGCAGAATAATACTTTAAATGAGATTTTGAGACTCTACACAGTCACAAAGTCACRCTGCTTTTCACTAATCAACAAACACTCAAGTCTAATTCACATTAGAATAGTAAAAGACTCATCTWAAACTGTACATTATCAATAACAGAAATTACAAACAAAACTATTACTGAGGTAAGGAGATAGTGACAAATGACCCAAGCAAAGCAATTAGGAGATGATAGTCCTCTGTACAGTAGAACATAATGCAAGTGGGTCTAAGTTTCAAAGAGACCTCAAGGGACAAATTAAAAGTGAAATAACAGCCTTCATTGTAAAGCACCTTGCTTTTCAAACGTAAGTTATTTTCACACTATTTACATTGGCACTGCTTTGGGAACAGACAGTAACAGCCTTTGCTTTTTAATAGCTTTGAAAATGCTTTATAGAAATTTGCTCTCATAATGAAGCTATTTCCCATTTCTAATTTTCAAGGGATTAGCTTCCTTATTTTGCCTTGTGTAGAGGCTCAGAAGTCCAGTAGGGACATTGCTTGTGTCCTGGACATTGGGGGATATATTTTCTTCTTTTACTCATTTCTAATGTGAGTTTGTCTACCTTATTCTAGCTATTTTGTAGGAAAAAAAAAAAAAAAGTATCTATCTTACTATTATTCTCCTCTATTTGGGTTTTCGGTTTATGGGGACACACGAAACTAAAGCCCAATCTCCACCTCTATGTAAAACCMCATCTATGACATTTGCTTGCATTGTTATATGCAGCCTAGTTTCATCCTTTTGGAGAGCATTACAGCAAAAAAGACTGGCTGCAGACTTATACAGCTGAGATGCTTCCAGCAGTGAAGCTGAGGAAAGGTAAATTTGCCCTACCATAATATGTCTGGGCAAGTGAAAGAATGYGGTTTTTTAAATTAGAGGCTTTTCTAATGTTAAGGATAGTAGGGAGAGTTCTGTAAGACACTTCAGAGTATAGGGTAGGTGGAGGAAAAGCCGAAAGCTGGGCTAATAAAGTTTAAATGTGAAGACAGACAACAYATTTACAGGGAAAGGGAAGTTGTACGTGACCTTGGAACAAGRTGTTTTCAGTCTGGCCAGAAGGACTCAGCCATCTCCTTGTGAAACTGAGTTTTCCTGGCTGAYAGAAGGCCTTCAGTTTGTGAGGGCAAAGACAGGTGCTCTGTGTTTAGCAGCTCAAAGGGTAAAATACTTTATGATAATATCATAGTCAAAATTTATCCTGTGTTGTTTCCTGTAAAACAAGTTTCCGAGAAAGACCAAGTAATGCTACTGCATCTTTTTACAACTTTGTATTTTTTTCTACTACCTATTCTTTGTTTTCTCTCTTCATATGGTGCTGCTGGACTCTGCTGTTTTGAGTGTACAGTCAAGAAGTAATATAAGTACTGTATTTATTATTCCTAGAAATTTTAATAATTATTAACAGTTTTGAAAATGTCATGTCTGCTTAGCTGAACAAGATGTAACAGAGCTAACATTTTGTACTCCTAACAGATTTTGCAAATAATGTGTTRCATATTTATTTCACATAGAACATTGTGTTCCTATTTAAAGTCACAGCTCATTAAGTGAACCAACTATATGTGAATCTTTAGTTTCTGGCTTTCTATCTCAATAGTAAAAACATGTATGATGTATTGTATTAATTTAAGCAAATAAATATGTACTGAAGAAGCTGATGTACTTTGTGTTGAAAAGGATGTGGAATTCTTGGCGTTCTAGACATTTTATATGCAAATGCATGGGGTTGGTCTGATAAGGATATTCTTCACTGAGCACCACTGCAKAGTGATTCTTGTAAAGCGAAGGTTGAATCAATGATGGAGGACTTGYTAGAAGACAACAGCAGAAGACCTGCCTCCTCTAAAGCAGAGAGATCACTTTATTATAACCGACTACACAGAGGACATAAAAAATCTTCTGGAGTGATTATGGTATTTGTCAACTTGGCTTCAGACACGTTAAAAGATAAACATCTTTTTCTTAGAGATATTCCAAAAAACTGCATCATGTTAAAAGAGAGGAAAAAACAACCAGGTGTATTGTAAGATGGAAGTTAAGAAAAAAGAAATACTATTACAGCTTAACAAATAAGCAGAAGACTGAAATCAGGCAATGTTACTTTTTCTAAAGCAAGAATCCATTTTAAGTAATAATTAACCTCTTAAATTTGTTTGTTTTAATGAGATTCTTATTTAATTGGCATCATCAAACTTCACAGAGAGCATTTCAAACTATTTATGAGCACAGAGAAAGCAACTGGAATGTTTGCTGTAAGATAAGTAATAACAAAAACATATATTGTGTTTGCAATTSTCAGAGGTATATGCCTTAAAAAGTGGAAGAACACTTATGCAAACACTAGAAATGCAGGCTGGAGGCTAAAAAACCATAAATAAGCCTTTATTTTCTTCCCCATTTTCTTTTGTTTTCTCTCATGCTTTGATGGTAGGCACAAACTATCAGGATTATAGGTTTTCCTTTACAAGAGGAGGATGATGATATTTTATAGAGTGACCTAGTTCATTCCCATGTGGCTCAGTATCAGTGAATGTCAAAGTTTCTCCTTTGTCAGTCACAATAACATCATGTTTGATATTTTTCACAGAATTCCTCTTCAACTTAGCTCAGTTTAAAGCTGAGCCATGTTCACTCATATTTCCAAACTAGCAGAAATTAAGTAGAAAAGAAAGAAAGCCTCTGAGATGCTCCCAGGGGGCTTTTCTGCGATTATAGCGACATGTTGAAAAGCCCAGAGTAACTAAATGTATGGAGACAGCCAAATTCTTACCAAATTTGTCCCATTAATACCCTTGTATTCTCATGTATTGTGTTACACATAAATGTGTTTGCCMACTGGCTCCTAAAGCAAAAATCTAACCTAAAAACATATGCAAGATGCCAGTAATTTCACACTGCTGATGCTGCTTTTATATATGTTAATGTGTGATATGATGGTATATGCCATATTATGGGTCATATAGCAGAAATTTCCCTAATGATCACTTGTAGTGAAAGTACAGCTGAACAGAGAAGAGACACATTCTGGTATCGTTCTGACTACCCTCTCTGAAAAAAATACTTTACTGTTATTCCATCACAGAAGTGATTTAATTTGGATAAAGCTGGAGTTTCCTTTTACCAAATTATTTCCTGGAAATAGTGGAAATATTTCTTGTAGTGCAAATATTTTATTCAAAAGAACTCTCTCAATTTACA